TTAAAATTATTTCTAGAGCTCTGAAAATTCCACTAAAAATCCTGTTAATGAATTTTGACATGTAGAACTTAAGAAAAATTCCACATGTCGAGTCCGATTATTATTTGCATTACTTTCTTAGGGTTTTCTCCTGATTTCACCTGCATTTTCTTGGGGTCATTTGTAAATTCAATTTTTGGCTTGGGAGGAAAACTTCGGGGTGTGACATAGACGCCCAACAATGGCGGCATAAAGGCCAGCCGTGCAGGCGGAAACACCAGTCGGCAGCGGCGAAGGCAAGCCAGTCGGTGAAGACGTAGACGCCCAACAACGGCGGCATAAAGGCCAGCCGTGCAGGCGGAAGCACCAGTCGGCGGCGGACGAGGCGGCCGGTCGGTGAAGACGTAGACGCCCAACAACGGCGGCATAAAGGCCAGCCGTGCAGGCGGAAGCACCAGTCGGCGGCGGACGAGGCGGCCGGTCGGTGAAGACGTAGACGCCCAACAACGGCGGCATAAAGGCCAGCCGTGCAGGCGGAAACACCAGTCGGCGGCGGCGAAGGCAAGCCGGTCGGTGAAGACGTAGACGCCCAACAACGGCGGCATAATAGGCCAGCCGTGCAGGCGGAAGCACCAGTCGGCGGCGGACGAGGCGGCCGGTCGGTGAAGACGTAGACGCCCAACAACGGCGGCATAATAGGCCAGCCGTGCAGGCGGAAGCACCAGTCGGCGGCGGACGAGGCGGCCGGTCGGTGAAGACGTAGACGCCCAACAACGGCGGCATAAAGGCCAGCCGTGCAGGCGGAAACACCAGTCGGCGGCGGCGAAGGCAAGCCGGTCGGTGAAGACGTAGACGCCCAACAACGGCGGCATAAAGGCCAGCCGTGCAGGCGGAAACACCAGTCGGCAGCGGCGAAGGCAAGCCAGTCGGTGAAGACGTAGACGCCCAACAACGGCGGCATAAAGGCCAGCCATGCAGGCGGAAGCACCAGTCGGCGGCGGACGAGGCGGCCGGTCGGTGAAGACGTAGACGCCCAACAACGGCGGCATAAAGGCCAGCCGTGCAGGCGGAAACACCAGTCGGCGGCGGCGAAGTCAAGCCGGTCGGTGAAGACGTAGACGCCCAACAATGGCGGCATAAAGGCCAGCCGTGCAGGCGGAAACACCAGTCGGCAGCGGCGAAGGCAAGCCAGTCGGTGATGTTCTGACTGATCCATTCCTGGAGCGTAAGAGATAAGCCTAAAGCCATGAATCCCTTTTATGCATATCTGGATCTGGATCCTGCAGAACAAACATATAGGATGAGTAGTATCTGATATAAATATAATACTCGAGAAAAAATCAAGTATTTTAAAATATTTATAAACATGTATTTCTCCTCTTGTCAATTTTGATTTCCCCGAGCAGATGACTCATTACGTTTAAACGCTCTGCCCAACTAGTCGGGTACTTTTGCAATTATTAAGAGCAGAAAATAAATTTATCTCATCTCTATGCTTTTGATTTATTCCGAATAATACTTAGCACCTTGCGTTACTCGGTCCATCCAACGAGCCCCCGGGTGCTAGGAATCGGCCCAAAGGCAACCATCCATTGGCAAACCAAACGGAAAGCATAGGAAGATAGAACTCCATAACTCGATAGGTACTTTTGTACTCAGATTATGTCGCAAGCAATCAAGATAAATATTATAAAAAATATGATATAACATCTGTAGCCCCCGACTCACTACTCAATGGAAGACCAATTGGTGTAGTGAGGCAGAGGAAAAGGAAAAATATCATATAAAGAATAAAATAAATGATGACTTAGCTTTGTAATATTCCCCTTGGTGATGGCAGAAGTGGCCAATGTGGGAACAAAGTCGTCCATCAATAACAATGAAGACACCAGTCGGCGGCGACGAAGGCGGTCGACGGTGAAAGCGAAGATGCCCACTAATGGCGGCATAATAGGTCAGCCGTGTAAGCGGAAACACCAGTCGACGGCAGCGAAGGTGAGCCAACGGTGAGGATGTAGACATCCAACAACGGCGGCATAATAGGCCAGCCGTGTAGGCGGAGGCACCACTCGGCGGCGACGGAGGCAAGCCGGCGGTGAAGTCGTAGACGCCCAACAGCGGCGGCATAATAGGCCAGCCGTGTAGGCGGAGGCACCAATCGGCGGCGACGGAGGCAGGCCGGTGGTGAAGTCGTAGACGCCCAACAGCGGCGGCATAATAGGCCAGCCGTGTAGGCGGAGGCACTACTCGGCGGCGACGGAGGCAGGCCGGCGGTGAAGTCGTAGACGCCCAACAGCGGCGGCATAATAGGCCAGCCGTGTAGGCGGAGGCACCACTCGGCGGCGACGGAGGCAGGCCGGCGGTGAAGTCGTAGACGCCCAACAGCGGCGGCATAATAGGCCAGCCGTGTAGGCGGAGGCACCACTCGGCGGCGACGGAGGCAGGCCGGCGGTGAAGTCGTAGACGCCCAACAGCGGCGGCATAATAGGCCAGCCGTGTAGGCGGAGGCACCAATCGGCGGTGAAGTCGTAGACGCCCAACAGCGGCGGCATAATAGGCCAGCCGTGTAGGCGAGGACACCAGTCGGCGGCGACGGAGGCAGGCCGGCGGTGAAGTCGTAGACGCCCAACAGCGGCGGCATAATAGGCCAGCCGTGTAGGCGGAGGCACCACTCGGCGGCGACGGAGGCAGGCCGGCGGTGAAGTCGTAGACGCCCAACAGCGGCGGCATAATAGGCCAGCCGTGTAGGCGGAGGCACCACTCGGCGGCGACGGAGGCAGGCCGGCGGTGTAGATGACGATGCCCATCAACGGTGGTGTGACCAACCGACCGTATAGGCGGGGACACCAGTCGGCGGCGACGGAGGCAGGCCGGCGGTGTAGATGACGATGCCCATCAACGGTGGTGTGACCAACCGACCGTATAGGCGGGGACACCAGTCGGCGGCGACGGAGGCAGGCCGGTGGTGAAGTCGTAGACGCCCAACAGCGGCGGCATAATAGGCCAGCCGTGCAGGCGGAAACACCAGTCGGCGGCGGCGAAGGCCAGCCGGTCGGTGAAGACATGGACGCCCATGAACGGTGGTGTGACCGACCAACCGTATAGGCGATGACACCAGTCGGCGGCGACGGAGGCAGGCCGGCGGTGAAGTCGTTGTTGCTATCAGCAATGGCGGTGGCGAGGACAAGCCGGCGGAGTGGACTCGCGGCCGATCGACCGGAAAGCTGAGACGCCTCGAGTCCATGACCAGCATCAATCGCCTCAATAGTGCCGCGTAGTTATATGCGAACAACAACAAAAAATAGCAAGAAATTAATCTGAGATTAAAAATCAATATGATAAATAATGATAAAAATCAGATTGAGTTTCCCCCTGACTGATTTGGATCAAGTCAGAGAAGAGGAGCTTGAAGAAGTGGTCGACGGAAAGGAAGTGAAAACTCCCAAAGCGAAAGCGAAGTCGGCGACTCATGAAATTGATTCCATCGCGCTCGTTGATAGGAAACTCGACGCAACCCCTACCTGGCGCGCCAACTGTCGAAACATGAATTCGGCAATAATAAAACGGGGTAGCGCACGAGACCTAAAAGTGGATGGATGTGGAGACAAAGGATTTAGACAGGTTCAGGCCCTCTCAATGAGAGGTAATACCCTACTCCTGTTTGGGGAATTGAATCCGCCGGGTGTATTATAGATCTGACGATCTAGTTGTCTCATGCCCCCTAGAGGGCCTCCTGCCCACCTTATATAGGATGGGGGGCAGGATTACAAGATAGAAACCTTAACCAATACGGTATCGGTTTCCTAAATCTACTTTACAATATTATCAAACCAGGACTTTAGGCTGTTCCGTAATATATAAGGAAACGTAATACCCAAGTCATGATCTGTTACATATTCCATATATATAAGTTATCCCCTATAACTAGTCGGATAACCATGCCGTGTGGGTATGGGGTACCCATAATCTCCACACGTCTCGTATTCTCAAGCGACGTCACACTCACAGTCATGCATACTCCAGCTCTATAACTATTTGCATTAAGCTATTTCTTTGTAAACGTTCTTGTGTTCCAGATGTACCATGAAATTACCATATATATCATAGAAATTTCAAGACAAGTCCACTCATGTCATTTTCATATAGATAATCCGATATTTATAGAAGATGTCGCTACCAAAATTAGAATTGATCAGCATTTTAATTCGGCAAGATACCTTTAGTTTTCATTGAAGAAATTACTATATAGTACTCCGTAACTAATAGAGCACAAAGTACAAGTCAAACGTGATGTGCTGCATACTTGCATGTGCAAGGAAGAAGTTCAACACAATGTCGTGCTCACGCTGCATACCGGTAACTAGTCAAGAAAACTATTTGATAATGCTGCTTATGAAGCACCGTATATTCACATTCTATTTTTCTGATTACATGTACGCCCACTTATTAATATTCATTCAAAATGATAGAAGCGAACGGTAAATTTTAACCCCACTAAAATCCTACTGAAAACACACGTGTATGTTTAGGACGTGACTAGATGCCGGGTGTCTAATCTAGTGCAAAAAATTGGATGTTTAAAATGTTGTGGCTCACCAACATCAAGTTATACATTGTTAAAATAAAATTTTAGTCATATAAATATTTGAAAGATATGTGAAACACAATAACATATATGTTGAATATTTTTCTAGAAAAATATAATTATATAATATCTTAAATATTTAATTACAATGAATACAATGATGTAAACTAATTATAGACCGAATAAGTAAGTTAACGAAGATTTCATGCATGCAGAAGGGGCTGGCCTGGTGAGCTTTGCGCAAATAGAACAGGAGGTGCGGCATGCATGTTGTGCACATTCGGTCCAAAAAAAATGTGCACGCACATGCAGCAGCGAACCCCACTAGAAACATTTTCCGCGTCTTTAATATCCTCGGTACCATTATTTAAAAACCTAATGAATAAAGTCATGTACCTATAACTCTCTCACCATGGTGTTCAGAAGTAATGATCAATCGTATTTATAATCGAATCCGAGAGATGCATTTAATAATACAGTACATAGTTGGACGAACACTATCTTTGAACTGGAGATAAGTCTCTTTTAAATAAACACTACCTTGATAAGCAAACAATAAATAACTACTAATATGGACTCTGCCTACATATATGTTTGAAAATTCACAATCATTTAGTTGACATGTGATAAACAAGTGAACGTCCACACGAGAGATTAGAATCATCTCCCAAGTCTTACCTAAACTTTTGCATGGTAAATTGCATCAGAGTAATCTACGATATTTCCTTTTCACCGAGTAATCTATCACTATGGTCAAATCCTATAGCGAAGAGACTAAAACCTTGTGGTCATCTCGCTCGAGGAATGTCAGAGATATTACCAGCTACCGACGACGCAACAGAGCATGAGTTGCCCATCTGATTTTGCATCAAGGCCAGCATGTTACAGCTTAGGTGAGCTTGTGATAGCTCTGGGAGTGGCATGGCACCGTCTAGCAACTGCACGACTTGCCGTATGCCCGGACGAGCACTGGGCAGAGGATGTGAACAAAGCAAGCATAGTTTCAGCACCAGGCTTGCTTCTTCCACGGCAAAGTCGCCTTGCAGCCGTGGGTCCACAGCGTCAGTGACCGTCCCTTGCCGCCAATGCTCCAGCACCATGTCCACCAACAAGAGTTGACCGCCGTTCGTGTCTTGCAAGACAGGCCGCCGTCCGCAGGTAACCTCTAGCATGAACACACCGAAGGCGAAGATGTCGGACGCCTTCGATGGCCTGCCGGTGTGCCCTAGCTCGGGGGCTAGGTACCCTATTGTGCCAACCACGTGTGTGGTGTGTGGGTCGGTGCCACGATCATATAACCTTGCAAGGCCAAAGTCACCTAGCCGACAGTTCATTTCGGCGTCCAACAATACGTTGCTTGCCTTGATGTCTCGATGCAGAACGACTTGTTCCCAATCCTCATGGAGATACAATATGCTCGATGCGATGCCTTTGATGATTCTAAACCTTTGAGCCCAACTCAAGATTTTGCTGTTCTCAGCATACAGATACTTATCAAGACTACCATTTGGCATATAATCATAGACTAACAGTAGCTCACCCTTCTGCCGACAATATCCAAGCAACTGCACAAGGTTCCGGTGTCGAAGTTGACCAATGCTAACCACCTCGGCAATGAACTCCTTCATTCCCTGCCTCGACTCGTGAGATACCTTCTTCACTGCAATCTCCACTCGGGATACCAGTAGTACTCCCTTGTACACCCTTCCAAATCCTCCAAAGCCAAGCAATCGCTCATCGGAGAAACCATTCGTGGCACGGAACAGATCCTTGTATGAGAACCGGTGTGGCCCAAACGCAACCTCCCACTCCTCTTTAAGCTCCGCATACCTGCGTCGTCTCCGGTGAATCACAAGAACAGCAATGGCCAATGCCGACACCAGTGCGGCCGAGGCTATGGGCAATAGTATCTTCAGAACGTTGGACGGAGCCCTGGCGATCGTGACAGGCAACGCCGGCAGCTTTGATACGTTTAGCGATGGTGCTGGCCCGTCCATCTTGAAGCTCCAGGCAAGCACGTAGTGGCGGCTCGCGACGACGCCGGTGGACGAGGAGAAGCCGACGTAGGCTTCGTCTTCGATCACGGCCGAGAGGTTCACGGCGGCGGAGAGCAGCGGCGTCGTCGGCTTGGGCAGCTCGAGGGGAGCCATGGTGACGTTGACGAGCGAGGTGCGCGCGTCGAAGTCCACCCACACCCGCGCCGCCGCGCGGCTGAGCAGGCTCATGTTCACGAACGCGCCGGTGCGGTCGTCGTGGTAGCCCGCGTCGTCGGCGGCGGCGGACGCGAGGCCGTCCACGTCGATCCCGACGTGGTTGTCGCTCATGTCGCCGAACTCGGCGTTGACGATGGTGTCCAGCTCCACGGCGAGGAAGTGGTTGCTGGCGTTGCCGTTGTTGCGCGCGTTGGCCAGGCCCATGTACTGGCTCTGCAGCGCCGACGAGAAGTCGCGGCTCTTGGCGACGACGAACGCCAGGCCGGGGCTGCTCAGGTCGGCGTACTCGCTGACGATGCCGAACACGAACGCCGTCGAGAAGGACCGCACGGTGGAGGATCCGCCGCCGCTCGTCGCCTCGTGAAAGAAACGCAGGGGAGAAGGGTAGAAGGCGTGGCCTTTCAGCAGAGTCGTGCCGTTCGTCAGCATGAGGAGGCCGCCCGGCGTGACCACGGCCGTGCCGTCGAGTGTGAGGTTCACGCCGGCGAAGCCGTCGAAGGTGAACTGGTCATCAACGGCGGCTGCGGCGAGGTGGAAACTCCCAAGGCTTAGGAAGAGAATTAGAGGAAGGGACCGCATGATTAGCTCGGGACGCCGCATGGCGTTTGCGCCAAACTTGCTTCTGTTGTTAAATCTCTACATTCTAATAAGAATTAAACAGCTTTTAGGTTGTCAGTATTATCTGAAGATGTCAAGATCGACGAGTACGATTTAGTTGAAAATATGACGCATTAGGATGATTTGGTTGCAATTTTCCAAAAAAGAAAAAAAGGATAGAAGACATACTGTTTTATTTCAACACGCGTAGTCTTCAATATAAAACTTCGGAGTATTGTACTATATTCTCAATGTGTACTGTTGAGTAGTGGTATTCTGCGTCATGACAAAATTTCTCAAATTAATTACATTACATCATTTTGGTACAACCATTTTGTCAAGAACCAGCCAAAAATGACGTACTATACCTGTCATCTACAACTAATAATTACATAAATATACACTGATGAACTGAACAATGTACTGTAGGAATGATCACGGTTTCATGGAGCCATAAAAAAATCACAGTTATCGATGTATGATAAATCCCGGAAGATCAAGTTCAGTTGAACAGTCTACTTTTCTTTTCTTTTTTTGCGGGTAGAACAATCCCTACTTGATATTATCCTTAATAGTATACTTTATGTTAAACCTCATCAATCTCAGATATAATTACATACTCTTTTTTTGCGGGAGTACTAATGATTGACTTTTTGTCAAACTTGCGTGCCAATTTTGGCCAGAGCAAGAAACGCGTGTAGGATATTGAATACTCACATTTGATTCCAGTGGACTTAGGAAATATACTGAATAGTATGGATATTTTGGCTTGCGAGGTCAACATAGATTTTTCTGCTAGGCACTGTACAGCTTATCACATGCAATGATAGTACGACGCAATCAATTAATCCAGTGATTTTATCTAGAGCTTTGGTCTATACTCTAATTTAGGTGAAAAATTAAAAAAAAAGCCACATGTAGATGAGAAGATGTTACACAACCATGTAGAAAATTTTATCCAAACTCGTCTTCATTTGTGAGATATGAAAATAACAAATTTCAAACCAATATATTATCATCGGTCAAATATTTGATTGACACATTTGTTGGCAACAGCTTTCTTGTCCTGTTCTTTAATTGCCATTCACAAACACACACACACACACACACACACACACACATTTTTGAAAAAAAACAAACTAATGACTTTTTAATCGTCGCGGTAAGCTAGTAAAATTAATTAAAATAAAACAGAACGATTTGAATTGGTACAATATCCATTAGATGGCTATTCCAAGATAAGAAGTTCTAGAAGCAACACAGCCAACAAAAACCTTGGTACTTCCCAAAGAGATGCTCCGGTAAGCAGTTTCGTATATGAGATACAAAACAAAGTAGGATTCGATGAATTCGATGATGCCTAAGTGACACAATTATAATTTAGTAATCCAATCAGTTACTGAAACCTAGTGCAGCATGGCACTTCTTATAGTTCGTCAGACATTTATCAGGGTTCACGGTTCACTGCACGTTTCACCAGTAGCGATGGAAACCAGGTAACATCTAGTTTTATGTACCTATTCAAATTGAAATAAAACGAGTTTTTGTTGCATACAGCATACTCACAATAAATTCCTAATCGCTTAATCAGTAATGCTTGAAGCATATGCATACTTGACTGCCGTGCATATGTTACCTCAGGGTTGCAGTGGTCACCGGAGGCAACAGAGGAGTGGGGTTAGAGATATGCAGGCAACTCGCGAGTAATGGCATTCTTGTCGTGCTGACTGCAAGGGATGAAAAGAAGGGCTCTCAAGCTGTCAAGGCACTAGAGCAGTCTGGTCTTTCTGGTGTGATCTTTCATCAATTGGATGTGACTGATCGATCGAGCATTATGCTGTTAGTGGAGTTTATAAGGACCAAATTTGGAAAGTTCAACATTTTGGTGAGTAGACTGATATATGCAGTTCAGCGGTTTCAAACGGAACGTACGTAGTTATTAGTTACAGATAAGTTCAGTTTTGCTCAAGATTTTTGGAATTCTCAGGTGAACAATGCAGCCATTGGAGGAACAACCATCGATCCTGAAAGATTACGTGAACTCTTAGAGCAGGATCCCAAGGCAAGTTTTCAAGTAGCTATTTTCTTTTCACTTTTGAACAAGAGAGCACCAAAGCAACCCTTTGGAAAGTTTCTTAGATTTTGAAAATCTATACTCCTTTAAAAGAAGAAAATGGTGGTGGCAGTGAATCTGCCACCCACCAACTCTGTTGTATTTTTTACCAACTATTCTTTCATGTACTTTAATTTTATAAAACAGTACTTCTACATATTGTTAATATCTTATTTCATCTCTAGAATTTAAGTTTACAATGCAAAGACATCCACAAGGAATCAGGGATGATATTGTTCCAAAAACCTTAAATTAACTTGTTCCAAACAATGTTAGCACATGTATAATTTATTTTTATCCGTAGCAAAGCACGGGTATTTAACTAGTGTACATAATATGATATAGCCACTGATTATAACTGAGATAAATTTTGTACTGCTATCTCTGTATAGGAAGATCTAATGGGTTTTCTGAATAGTTATATGGGAAGCTTGCAACAAAATTATGAGATGGCCAAGGAATGTCTGGAAATAAATTTCTATGGCACAAAGGATGTTACAGATTGCCTGATGCCACTCCTCCTTCTATCCAATTCAGGAAAAGTGATAAATCTTACCTCAAAAATTTCACAACTCCAGGTAACCTTATCCATGAAAGAATTATATCGAATTACTTTTCTTCTGATAACATAACCGTGAGAATATCTGCATATGTAGTTTGAAAACAACAAAACAGGGATAACCTAGTTCTGCCAAAAATATTATCACAAGGCACCTAATCAGGAGAATAATAAGCTAAAGTGATTTAGCCATTTTTGGTAGAAACAACCTTTGAACAGATGAATTGCAATATGCAAAATCATGTTCTGCAATGAAACTTTATCATGCAATGAGTTGAATTGTTTGATTCTTTTCCACAGTTCATCTCGAATGAGGGGGTCATAAAGGTGCTAAGTGACATTGATAACCTGTCGGATGAGAAGCTCAAGGATGTGGCCAGCATTTTCTTGAAAGATTTCAAGGATGGAAATCTAGAAGCACATGGCTGGCAACCAGTGGTATCAGCATATGCAGTGTCCAAAACGTTGGTCAATGCCTACAGTAGGCTCCTTGCTAAAAGGCACCCATCGCTGGAAGTATGCTGCGTCAATCCAGGTTTCGTGAAGACTGACATGAACTATGGCATTGGATTAATTTCAGTAGAGGAAGGAGCAAATGCGCCAGTCAGATTGGCTTTGCAGGAAGCGTGCAGTGACTCGTGCCTTTACTTTGAGCAATGTGAAATTTCTGAATTTTGACAAGATCTGAACTCTAGGAAGTACGAGGGTTCTGCTTTGAGATTTTCCAAATAAACTGGAGCACAAAGTTAGAGTTTTTAATTAGTACTGGTATTTAGATCTGCCTTGTGCTATTCCAAATAATTAGATGTGGTCCATGTGGAGGACAACTTATTGAAACCCAAACAATATCAACTCAACATTGAGAGAGATGTTTGGAAGTTTGGAAATCAGAACGGGACCTTCATTGTAGGTTCCTGAAGATCCTGATAATCCAAACAATATCAGCTCAACATTGAGAGAGATGTTTGGAAGTTTGGAAATTGGAATAGAACCTTCATTGTAGGTTCCTGATCCTGATATCCCAAAGATAAGCTAAGACAGGCTAGTTAGCCAATCAATATGATGCTTGTGAGTTGTACCTTACTTAATAAAGTTTTAGACCTCTTGTGCTTCTGTATCTGTGCTTCTCTAAATGAACACCTAATCTTAATGGTAATTTGGTAACCTGGCAATCACATGCATATTCACATATAGGGAACGTCAACACACAAATAATTAATACTCTTACGGCTGGGGTCTCTGAACTAAGCAATTGACCAGAAAGCCCAATGCGTAATACTAGTTTCACTAGATTCATAAAGCTCGCTAACCAGGCTTACCCCAAATCACAACCTTTAACCTAGAACTGACCAGAGTGCTGAATCCTATCCCCATTGTTCCCAAATCCAGAGATGGCGGACTCGCCAAGGATCAAAGGGGAGCTGACCTCACTGGAGCCGGAAAGCCGTTGGCCGCACACTCTCGCAGCGGTGCTTCCGGGCGACCGCGCCGGCCACTGGCCGCCGTGGCGGTGGCGCCGTCGCGGCGCAGGTCTCGTGGCCAACGGCCGCAGGGGGACAATACTTTCAACAGCCTCTTCGGCGGATTCGCCGTTTCGTGGGCCGTACCGTAGCCATGTGTCCTCTTTAGGCCGAAATTACGTACAATCGAGTTCGGTGTCCCGAGGCCCATGGGCCTCCGCGAAACCCGAGTCTTGAATTGGAATCGTAAATATACTCTTAAACCGAATTAGATCATGAACCATCCAAGCTAGCCCTAAAAACCTCAACACCGGGGAGCCGCGTCGGCACACGAAACCAACACTCGTGCGGCCGTGCAGTTCCAATCTCCGCGCCTAGCGAACATGGACAACGCCGCTGCCGTCGCCACCTTCATGGAGATCACCTCCTGCGGATCCCAGGAGGCCGCCGTGCAGCACCTCGCCTCCTGCAGGTGGGACCTCGACGCCGCCCTCAACCGCTACTTCATCTTCGGCGGCGTGTTGGCCGCCGCTCCCGCTCCCGCTCCGGTCGCCGACGTCGCGCCGCCCGCTGCGCTGGATGACGGGGTGCGCGCTCCCATCCCCGCCCGCTCCGACACGCTGTACGGCGACATGTACGGCGGCGCCAGGCGCCGTGACCGTGATTCCCGTCCCGCCCCGTCCGTTTGGGAGGACGAGCCGCCGGCGGTGACACCCTCGGTGGCGCCGGTGTATATACAGATGCCATCTGCGAATCCCGCGGTGGCGCCGGTGCAAATACAGATGCCATCTGAGACGGCGGCCTCGGTGCCCGCTGCGCCGGTGCCCGTACACGCTCCATCTCAGCCCCCCGTGGTTGCAATCGCCGTCAAGAAAGAACAAAACGAGAAAGACGAGGAGGAAGACAACGGCCGCGACGACGACGACGACGGCTACAGCGACAGCGACTACGGCATGGACACGGACGACGACGACGACCGCTACGACGAGTGCATAGAGAAAACGCCATCTCCACCACCCAAGTCGACGCAGCAACAGGCGACGACGCTCGCCGAGATGTACCGCCGCCCGCGCGAGCTCATGCACGACGCGGACTTCCACAGCACCAAGGTGCACGCGGCGCGTCAGGACCGGTGGCTGCTGCTCAACCTGCAGTCCGCCGGCGAGTTTGCGTCGCAGATGCACAACCGGGACCTGTGGGCCGACCAGGTGATCGCCCGGGTCGTGAGAGAGAGCTTCGTCTTCTCGCTGCTCGAGAACAGTTACGGCGACGATGACGACGAGGCCAGCAAAGTTTGCTGCTTCTACAAGCTCCATGACCAGCTTCCCGCCGTGCTCGTCATCGACCCCATCACCGGGCAGATGCTGGCCAAGTGGAGCGGCGTCATCCAGCCCGAAACCTTCCTGGTGGACATCGAAGAATACAGCAAATCGAAGCCGAGCATGCGTTCCAAACCCTATATATTCCAAAGAAAGCCCATGCCGGTAAGGTCAGCACCTGCAGCCAGCGAGCAGCATCATCAAGAACCGGCAATGGTTGACACTGCTGCGCCTATGGATATCCACAATGTTCAAGAACCAGACACTGCTGCGCCTGCACCTGCACCTGTGGTCGAACACGGTGTTCAACAACCTGCGACTGCCGGCGCCGGCGCACAGCAACCAGCAGATGAACAAGATGATGATGACCAGCCGATGGAAGGTGAGAAGATGTACAGGATGAGGGTACGATTCCCCGATGGCTCTGTGGTCACCAAAGAGTTCGGCTGCAAGCGGAGGGTGGCAGTGCTCTTCAATTACTGCAGATCGGTGCTCCATGACAAGCCGCAGGCGTTCAAGATCAAGAGGTTGCTCGGCGTCGGCGGAGCTTTCCACGAGTTGCCCCAAGGTGACCACTCGTTTGAAGATTTGGGCCTGAACTGCGCGACTGTCTCAGTAATTTTGGATACTTAGAACGAATTACTCCTCCTACTACTACTATATGGTTCATTGGTCCTTGTATCAGATTCTCGGATTCATCACTATGGAGTAGTTGTTAAATTTAGTGATTGCTTTTGCTTCATTCTAATTATATATGCTTAACGCTACTCCGCTAGTGCGTGGCCTAATTCTCTGCTTGAAGTTCAGAAGTCTTATAAAGTCTCCGGATGCAGTAATGCACGGATTACGTACTGTACGCTGAACCAGTAAAAACCTTTTATGTCTGTTGAGTTGTGATCCAAATTCCGTTGCACTTAATAAAGACTAGCTTACGAATCGTCATCCCTTTTAGGGTTACATCATATATATACCTCTTGTAAGCCGCCGTGTGACGTTGTAACCTCACCCTAGATATAGTGAATATATTTTGCTGGCTGGCGTCCGTGGTTTTTTCTCTCTTGTTTTGGGAGGGTTTTCTACGTTAAATCTCGTGTCTTCTGCGATTGATCTATTGTTTTGTATCGTTTATTTGTCTATCGTTTCCTAACAATGTCATCTGCGGAACAAGCCCGGCACTAACAAAACCACGCTCTGTTTCTATTTTTTAAGATAATGAAAATGAATTACATCTTCGGCTTCTATCATAAGACACACAGCTATAAGTTTAATATTAATAGCCATAAGTTTAATAGTAATAAAATAAAATAAAGATAAAAATAAATCAATTTGAGAAATAAGATGATCGGACAAATCCCAACCTTTTATGCCCACACTTTGTCTCGGACGTCCGATCCTGTGACTCGCGTCGGGCGCGGACCTCCATTCATCTCTTTATCCACTTTACCTGTGTTCTTAGCCACTCATTCCCTCCTCTCTCTCTCTCTCTCTATCTCTCTCTCTCTCTTCAACACAGTAACGAACTCTCCAGTCTCCACCACGCGTGCGAGGAAGCACAGTTGAACTCAAGCAAGACGAAGTCGTTGTCGCTGGCCGCTGGCCGCTGGGGGAGTAGATGACGTCGCCATCGGAGCAACCACTGTCGGAGAAGACTTCGAGCTCGCCGCCGGCAGCGGCAACACCGCGAGAAAATGCGGTCGACGCCGGTTAGGCCTTGAGCTCGCCGGTGGCAGCGGCGCCACAACAAGGAACAACCGTTATCAAAGAGGACCCGAGCTCGGCGGCGGCGGTGGCGTCAACGTCACAAGGAGATACCGCTAGCGCCGGTTAGGGCCCAGAGCTCGGCGGCGGCGGCACTTGGAGGGAGCGGGTTGAAGCTTGAGGCGCCGTTGATGGAGATGGCTGTGAGCTCGCCGACGAATTAAGGTGAGGATGGTGGGAGCATCGAGCTAGCAAGGATTTGTTCCATGCTAGTTTCTTTATGTTGCACACAAGTGTTTCTTGATGTTGCATTTTGGTATTCCTTGATGTTGCAATTCATATTTCTGGATGTTGCATTTGGTACTTGATGTTGCAGGTGATTTCTTTAGATGTTGCATATGTTTTTGCTCTTGAAGTCTGTGTTTTTTAGTGTTTCATCCGACTGAAACATTTTCAGTAAAATAATGAAACATTCTTTCATAAAGGATGGAACATCAAAGAAACAACTCACGTTGGAACATTTTTTCTGGAACGGGGAAACATTTGCAACAACTTATGGTGAAACATTTTATTTGGAACAGTGAAACATTGCAACATCTCTTTTAACATCTAGTGAAACATTGCAACATCTCTTTAATATATAGTGGAACACCGTCCAGAGATTTGTAAAACTCCGGACGTCCGATGTGTAGTCATCTCCTTTTATGCCATCTGCAAAACAAGCCCGGCACTAACAAAACCACGCCTTGTTTCTATTTTTTAAGATAATGGAAATAGATTACATCTTCGGCTTTTATCCTAAAACACACAGCTATAAGTTTAATAGTAATAAAAAAAAGTTAAGATAAAAGTAAATCAAAATAAGAAATAAGGTGATCGGACAAATCTCATGCTCCTCTTTATTATTTCTTTATTATTAACTAGCGTTAAACCATATAGTTTTTTTTCTAGCAATTCTAATGGAACTACGTCACTCATAGTGAAAATATAATGGAAGGGATGGTGATTTTACATGAGACTTCATGAGTTGCACAAGAAAAATATGGATGGGGTTATTTTCAAAATTGGTTGTACACATTCATTCGTGGCGATCAATCTTGCCACGATCGAGGATTACTACGACTCTCTGTGCTATCACTTTATGTCACCATCTAAACTCAACAGTAAACCAGAGCATGTGGCTACCATCCATCCCCCGACCCATCATACAGGTACAGCCGTATAGCAACCTCTTCACCTCTGTTTCTTGCACATGCGCAATTCCGCCGTTTTTTCTTGCACTAGAACCTGCACTGCGTGTAAGAGCTCTCCTACACGATGGGACCAGGAAGCAACAACTCCTTCCCGGCCGAGAAAAGGTACACACAACTTGGCTATGCACCGCCCTTTCATGCAAGATTTCAGTTGGTTGTGCTGACGACCAGCTAGCTGTTTGATCGGTTTCTCCTGTTGCAGGGTTGCAGTGGTGACAGGAGGGAACAAAGGACTTGGGCTCGAGATATGCAAGCAGCTGGCTGCCAATGGAGTCACCGTCGTCTTGACAGCGAGGAGCGAGGAGAGGGGCGCCGGAGCAGCGGCCGCGCTTCGTCAGCTCGGGCTATCGGAGGTCCTGTTCCATCAGTTTGATGTGTCTGAGCCTTCCAGCGCCGCTGGCTTGGCTGATTTTATAAAGCACAAGTTTGGCAAGCTTGACATATTGGTATGTGCTTTTAAATATGTTTTGTTATATAGTCCTTAAGGAGATACTATGAGATACCAATTTTTATATTGTAAATTTGGTATCACTTAGTATCTAGGTACTATGAGGTACCAAATAGTACAATTTGGTACTTCATAGTACCTTCTCAAAGATCGTAAAATTGCTCAAATTTTTGGTACCTCCTTAAGGACGGTAAAATTTCTCATACGGTAAAGTTTTCAAGCTTTGACCATAATGAAAAAATAATTTATATTTATCGATTTTACGGTTCTAGAGAGGTATCAAAAGGTAACACATTTGACACTTTGATTTTACACTAGTAAATGTGGCACTTTCAAGTACCTATGTTCAATAAAATTTCTCTTGATTAAATCATCCATTTACAAGATATTGCCTCGTTAATTCTACCTATCATACCCTTAACTATTGATGATTCATAGGTCAACAATGCAGGAATTTTGGGGGTTACATTTGATTTTGGCAACTTAGATCTTAATAAAGCGGTGAGTATATCACGAGACGACCTATATTGTGGATCAAGAGTACTGTGTGCTGCGAAGTTAAGTATGTTTCGTGCAACAGATTGAGGGCAAGAGTGCAAACGAGACGCTGGAATGGTTGATGCAACACACCGTGGAGACTGCCGAGAATGCAGAAGAATGCTTGAAAATAAACTATCACGGCAACAAAAAAACCATACAAGCACTCCTTCCTCTCCTCCAATCATCACCTGATGGAAGAATTGTAACTGTTTCCTCTGTTTTTGGACAACTATCGGTATGTACATATGCACACATTTTAGTTATAAATATTCGATGTGTAGAAAATGATTCAGTGAGTTAAAATTTCAACATCGAATTTAACTAGAATTAGCTTATAAAATCCAATAAATTTATGATATTATGATGTAGTTTTTGAGACAAATCTACATGTACTATTTTTTTAAAAAAAACTAAGCATTTGAGAAATTATTGACAGTTAAAATTTAAAAAAGATAAGAAAATCTTATTCTAAACAATGGTGGACTGAACACATCAAAGCAGCTTGCTGTTCTCTTAAAACTAATCTAGTTTCGATCTGCTCCAGTTTTTCAGTGGGGAGAAACTCAAAGAGGAGCTCAACGATTTCAGCAAGCTAAGCGAGGAGAGGATAGACGAGCTGGCAGAGCTGTTCGTCAGGGACTTCAAGGACGGAGAGCTGGAGTCCCGGGGATGGCCAGCCAGAGCCGACGCGTTCGCGGCCTACAAGACGTCCAAGGCGCTGCAGCACGCTTACACGAGGGTCCTCGCGAGGAAGCACGCCTCCTCCTCCTCCTCGCCGTTGCGCGTCAACTGCGTGCATCCTGGGTACGTCAAGACGGACATGACCCTCGGCACCGGGGAGCTGACGGTGGAGGAAGGCGCGGCTGGCCCTGTCGCACTGGCCCTGTCGCCGCCGGGAGGCGCCACGGGCGTGTTCTTCATCCAAACCGAACCAGCGTCCTTCGTCTGAGCGTGATTCCTCCGGAAAATCAGACGCAGCTTGTTTCTCATATCTAGGGGTGGGCATTCGGTCTAATCGAGAAATTCGGTTCGGTTCCTCGGTCTTCTGAAAAATTCGGTCTTCCCAACCACAAGACCGATCGGTCTTAAAAAAACTCAAGACCGAGCATTTCGATCTTCGGTTAGTTCGGTTCGGTCTCGGTCATAGACCGAACTAGCCATAGCAGCAGTTTAAACAGCAAAAAGAATTAATAAAAAAAAACTCCATACAAGATCAATGAATCGAAGCAACTCGGATGAAGAACTACAATATGATGCCACTAGAGCATGATTCAGAAAAAACAAGAAGCAAATCAAAGCAAATCGATCTCCACAATTCCACCTCAAGCTCCAGATCCCGTCGATCTCCCACCATCGCTTTCATCCCCGACCGACCTCCTCAGCCATCTAGGTCTCCAGCGCAGGTGAAAGGGCGGCGCCGAGGCGGAGGCGTCCTGGCTGGAGGCGGCACCGAGGCAGAGGCGGCGGCCGCGGCGAGATGGGTCGGAGGGCGGAGGCGGCGCCGACGCAGTGGGTGGAGGCTGGAGGCGGAGGGCGGAGGCGACACCGGCGCCTGCGCGGTGGAGGCTGGAGGCCGAGGGCGGAAGTGGCGCGGTGGAGACGGAGCCGCGGAGGCCGAGCGGAGGTGAGCGCGAACGTGCGATGAATGGGGAGGAATGCGGTGCTGACTCATGAGGAGGGAGGGTGGGGCGTGACGCGTGGGGGCAGGCAGTGAGAGAGAGGGTGGAATTAGGGTTTATGTTACTAGGCTTATTGGGCCTCCTAAGTTTATTGGGCCACAATTCGGTTATCTCGGTTAATTCGGTTAACCGAGCCCAATGACCGAAATACCCGAAATAAATTCGGTCTTTTGATGGCTGAAACCGAACTACTAACCGAATTTCTCGGTCTCCGTCTTTTCGGTTCGGTCTAAATATGCCCACCCCTACTCATATCAATAAGACAATGAGCACCTTTACGGTGGTCTTCAACTCTCCGTAATAACGGTATTATTATCGATTATAAGTGGTCCCACCGTCCCAAGGGTTAATTTATAAGTTCTACTTCAAGTAGAAAAATGGTTTTTCTACTGTCAATAGTTAAGTAGTACTATAAAGAAGATTGTAAATTCTATCAAACTATAAAGCTAAGCTAACGTCCATTAACTTCTAAAACTCAATATGCAAATATGTGACATCATTACCTCTTAGCAATAATTATTATTTAGAGTATTTTAAATATCATGCAAATATGATATATTATTTACAATTTTATTATATTTTTAGAATTTAATATGCAAGCAATGTCCAATCATTATCTCCACATCATTTCACATTATTTAAATATATACATCTATCATTTCTATTATAATACGCGTTAATCCATATATACCGCAATGAAGCGCATGGTATCAACTAGTACTATAAATAGTTACTATAAATCATTGCAAAATACCTCTAATTAAGACAACTAGCATGGTGGCCCCCGCAGATTGCGCGGCTAGTATCATTATATTTTCTCTCATATAATACATATATGTTTTCTCAATATATTATTCAAATATATTAAAATGACAACATAATTTTAAATTTTGCAATAACTTTATGAAACTACTAATGTATAATATTCATGTTGCATTTTATATACGTATTAGTTATTAATTATTTTTAATATCAAATTTTAGTTATTTGTAAATTATATATATTCCTATATAGACTCTAGACTCATCTTTTAATATTTCTTTTTTTTAATTCCGAATTTTCTGTAAATTGTATTTCTATATAGACTCTAGGCTCTTCTTCCAATATTATTTATTTTTATTTCTGATTTTTTATTATTTCAAATTGTATTTCTATGCGGACTCTAAACTCATCTTTCAATATTCTTTAATTTTTAATTTCGAATTTTAGTTACTTCTAAATTGTATTTCTATATTGACTTTAAACTCTTCTTCCCATGTTTTTCTTAATCTCGAATTTTAGTTATTTGTAAATTGAATTTTTATATGAATTCTAAACTCTACTTTTAATTTTATTATGTTTATTCCGAACTATAGTTAGTTTTAAATTCCTATATGAACTCTATACTCTACTTCTAATATTCATTATTTTTTAATTTCGAATTTCTATTTTTTTCTTAATTGTATTTCTATATTGACTCTATATTCTACTTCTAATATTCCTTATTTTTAATTCTGAATTTCTATTATTTCCTAATTGTATTTCTATATGGATATGGACTCTATAATCTACTTCTAATATTCCTTTTTTTAATTCCGAATGTCAACTATTTCTAAATTGTATTTCTATATGGACTCTAGTCTCCTCTTCTAATATTTCTTATTTTTTAATTCCGAATTTCAGTTATTTCTAAATTGTATTTCTATATGGACTCTGCCTTTTCTTTTTCTTCGATTAATGTGAGAATTTTTAGACCATGAGAGCGAACGTGGAGACTTCTTTTTATATTTATTCCGAACTATAGTTAGTTTTAAATTCCTATATGGACTCTATACTCTACTTCTAATATTACTTATTTTTTAATTTCGAATTTCTATTTTTTTTTCTTAATTATATTTCTATATGGACTCTGTACTCTACTTCTAATATTCCTTATTTTTAATTCCGAATTTCTATTATTTCCTAATTGTATTTTTATATGGATATGGACTCTATAATCTACTTCTAATATTCCTTTTTTTTTTTAATTCCGAATGTCAACTATTTCTAAATTGTATTTCTATATGGACTCTAGTCTCCTCTTCTAATATCCCTTATTTTTTAATTCTGAATTTCAGCTATTTCTAAATTGTATTTCTATATGGACTCTGTCTTTTCTTTTTCTTCGATTAATGTGAGAATTTCTAGACCATGAAAGCGAACATGGAGACTTTTTTTTCTATTCCTTTAATAATATAATAGATAATTGAACAATGTGTTGGGGCAAACAAAAGAAGATTGCAATGAACAGATTCTTGCCAATGTGCCAATGTCATGGCTCCATAGCCTCATACAGAAATAAGTACAACAGTTGCAGTTTGTCAAAGAAATGATAAGCAAGTTTTCGGTCTTTAAGAGGTGGAACAAAAAGAAAGAAAGAGGAAGCAAGGGAGGATAATACATCAAATTACTAGCTGATAATTGAGGATTTTTCTTATGTCTATATATATATATATATATATATATATATATATATATATATATATATATATATATATATATATATATATATATATATATATATATATATATATATATATATCCGGTTCTGTTTTCCCCCTAATCTTTGCTCTATGTCGCGTCTTGTGGGGGCACTTCCTGTTCTTTCTCGCTGGCCTCTGTGGCCGCCACCGGTGCAGCCTCCTCGGACTCTTTCTGCTTCGATTGTGCGGTCTGGATCAAGTGGTTGTAGCTGCCCTTCTCCTTGAACAGCTGCGAGAAATGGATCTTGCAGTAGAGGATCCCGTTGAGCGCCGCGTAGGAAGACGTCGTCAGGATGCAGCCCCCATGCGAGCACTTGAAGCAACTCTTGTGGTAAGACTCACCCTCCAGAGTTAGCTGAACAAAAAAATAGATTCCATCAAATCAGATTGGTTTAGAGCAGGTACAATAGCAGACTATAAGCCAGCTATAAACATATTTTAAAGAGATAAAAAATGAGAGATAAGAGTAGCGGGCTACAAATTTGTTGCCAGTTGTAGCACATACGTAAGAATACATGTGTGTATGACAGGTAGAACCAGACATTAATTATGTAGTACATGTTTATGGGTAACTATTGTATGAATTAGCTATTAAATTGACTATAGATGATTTGTAGCCAATAGTTAGCTATACTATTAAACTTGCTCTTATACTCGTTCAATTTCAATGCTATCATCTTTTTAAATTTTCTTTAACGGTTTTGACAGATTGAAATTTGTGTGACGCTACTTTGCGGTCGTAACTAGGCAGCATTCTGTACCTTCTCCAATGGGTACACAGTTTTTTGGCAGGCTGCACATTTATCTTGAGTTCCAGAGAATGCTGAAGATAGCTTGCTAGGAGCTCTTCCCTGGAAAAAGTTTTTGCAGAGTGAATAGTTTGCGGATTATCAAATTTGGTGATATATAACTAATAAATGCATAATGTGTGAATTGGGCTATAAACAGGTCTGTGGGGTTTGTACCTGGTCGCTCTTCTCTGAAGATTTACCACCTGAGTACCGGGACAGAGAGAGAATTCAGAACACAATAACTTCTCAATAATGTCCAAACATCTCGACAGCCACTGTGTCTTAGCATTACCTTGCGAGAATTTCTTTGAGAAGCTCCCCGTCTCTTTGAAGAGCTGCTCAAAGTGCGTCTTGCAGTACAGGACACCATCCATCGAAGAGTAGTTACACATCTGCAGATGCGTAAATGTTTTGAACGAAAAATGTGATAGTTGATTTAATTACCTAATAAAAACTGAACATGTTGCAGGGCCGATCGATGCCATATATACATACCGAGAGGGTCCCCTTGCAGTGGCTGCACTTGAAGCATGTCTTGTGGTAGGAGACGCCGTCGGCGGTGAGGAGGTCGATGAAATGGACGGTCTTGTCGCACGCCTTGCACTTGTCCTGCGTGCCGGTGAACGACATGGCGGCCGGGGTACGTATACTAGCACCGGGTGATTCACCGATCGGTCGATGGAAAACCTTCAGGCCTCGGTCTGGTCCAGCTCGAGGAATCACCGTAGCTATAGCTTCCCAACTCCCAACTCTTCCGATCGATCGACGGAGGAGATCGATTCAGGGCGAGACGAGAGGAACGTGGGCGTGGCGTCTCCAGAGAAGGGAGGGAGGAGAGATGGGCAGACAGCAACGGGCGATGGTTTAAAGGGCGGGGCGGCGTGAGCACGGGAGCAAAGATAGGAGACGGGATGGGCTCCGGGCCACACAGATGACAGACGGACGAACCCGGTCGTGCAAACCGGGAGAGAGGCTTGTTTAATTTTGGGAGGGGCGAGCGGACAAGAATTTTCTATGCCTATTCTATGCCTAGGTGTCATGGCATCCATCATTTGCATGTGATTTAAATAGTTATAGAAAAAATTAAAACAATCAATTATGATGATACAAGTCTATACACAATCATACAAGAACTGAACTAGAGAAACAAAAATAATAATATCAGACAGTGAATAGTACCCGTACAACGCAGATAAAATTTGTTATTTTTATTTCTTCATATGTAGATTGATTTTAGACTTACATGTTTGTATAGTATCTTATATTATCGCAGTCTATCTTATCTAATTTTATAATATTTTTATAAAATTATTTAAACTACATGCATACACCTAGACGCCATGATATTTGGGTATAGAAAATATTTTCCCAGGCCTTCACACGGGGGCGCGCGCTCATGTCGCGCGCGCTCAACTCCGGCTGTGGTCCTTCTTCAGGTCGTGCGAGCCGCGAAATCACAACGTGGCTCCATGGATCTCTGCGAGACACTGTCGTGCGGGGCAGTTCGTTCTTGATTATGCAGATCTCTTTCTGGTTGGGTTTGTGTACTGGGCTTCGATCCGCTCTGCTCACGACAGTCTGGGTGGACAAGCGTACATATCTGTCACAGATAGGCCCGTATAGGCCCATGACCGAATAAAGGAATAAGTCCATTATACCTCTCTCAATTATTCCCCTTTGTCGAATTACATCCCTCAACCACAAAACCAGGTATATTACCTCCTCTAAGTGTTAAAACCAGTACAAAACAACTCCCTTAATGGTTTCTGACGGTGGTTTTGCTGACGTGGCATCCTAGTCATCGAAAAAAAAAATTAAAAAAATACGTGAGGGCCCACATGTAAGTGGCATTTCTACTCTTCCTCTCCTCCACCACTCTCCTCTCTCCTCCCCCTTCTCTCTCCCTGGACAGGGGAGGCGCCGGAGGCGCGGAAGATGTGGGGACCGCCGGAGGATGCGAGCGCACGCCGCGAGGGAGAGGATCCACTATCAGCAGCAGCAGATGCAGGTGGTGGCGGCGGTGACGGGGAATAGGAGGATGCAGGGGCTAGGGCCGAAGCGGAGCTCGAACAAGGACCGGCACACCAAGGTGGATGGCCGGGGACGACGGATTCGGATGCCGGCGTTGTGCGCCGCCTGGATCTTCCAGCTAACGCGGGAGCTCGACCACAAGTCCAACAGCGAGACCGTCCAGTGGCTGCTCCAGCAGGTGGAGCCGGCAATCGTCACCGCCATGGGGACGGGTGTCGGCACTGACATACAGGGGCCCTCCCTCCCTTCCCCAAACTGCGCCCTCTCCAGGTCGCACCACCACCACCACCACATGTGGGCTGCCGCCGCGGCACCGCCCGCCGCGTCCGCGGCGTTCGCCGGTGCCACATCGGGTTCGCGACCATGTTTGCCGGCTACGTGGCGGCGGCCATGCCGGGGCTAGAACTAGGACTCTCACAGGACGGCCACATCGGCGTGCTCTCCGCCCGGTCGCTCAGCCAGTTCTACCACCAGGTCGGCGACGCTAGTGCCGCCGGTCAACTGTCGCACCCACACCACCATCACCAACACCATCAGCAATAGCAGGAGGACGGGGAGGATGACCGCGATGACGGCGAGTCCGATGAGGAGTCCGGGCAGTAGTAGGCGCACCGCCAATTGTTCATCTATGCGTCTCACGTTGTCTCTTTGGAGAAGAAAAAGAGAATTCCAGGAAGGGGCATGCAGCTAATGGAGGGGGTATGCTTTTGTTACTGTTGGGTTGTTCTTCATGGGGATTTTTATGTCTGATTTTTCCTCGTGTGGTGTCGAAGCTGGAAGAGGCTACTACTTGCTCCAGCGACTTGTTGGGATGGATCATGATCATCTTCAGTTGTTACTCCTGCTGCTCCATGGATGGTCGCCGGTTTATCCCCCTCCAAGTGTTTAGGTGAAAGCTCAATCTTTTTCACTCCACAGTCAGCACATGACATGCTCTTTGAAAGGTAGCTTGATGAGCTTATGTATTTTGCCGGAGGTTGGCGGCGCGAATAGACAGCGGGAGGATGCGTTGCCGGCGAGCAGATCGACGCTGTGGCAGGTGAACCCTCCCCGTGCGGGCGCCGCGGCCGGCGATCCTCTCCCTCGCGGCGTGCACCCGCATCCTTCGGCGGTTCCCACACCTCCCGCGCCTCCGGCGCCTCTCCTTGCCGTGCTCTGTTCGAGGAGAGAGAAGGGGAAGAAGAGAGGAGAGTGGTGGAGAGAAATGCCACTTACATGTGGGCCCTCACGTATTTTTTTAATTTTTTTCGATGACTAGGATGCTACGTCAGCAAAACCACAGTCAAAAACCACCAAGGGAGCTGTTCTGTACTGGTTTTAACATTTAGGGGAGGTAATATACCCGGTTTTGTGGTTGAGGGATGTAATTCGACAAAGGGCAAGAATTGAGGGAGGCAAAATGGACTTATTCCCCAAATAAATATCAGGCCAGATACACTTTAATTGCTTTGTATAAGCGCAATGGGCTAGAGATATACACGGGCCATAAAATGCACAATCACGTGCTTTGCTTGCTTATGCGAAGAAGAAAAGGCACGTCAACCTTTTCTTTTTCTAGATCTTTCATGAACATGTTTTTGACCGTGATACGGATTGGTAGATTTGTCTAGAGCTATTGTCTTCTTTAAAAGAAAAAAAACAGCACAGACCAGTGGCGGAGGACGAGAAAAAAATAAGGTGTGGCAGCATCAACACAGCGAAAACAACATAATAGGGCGAACGCTATGGATTTGTAATGTGCTCCCATGCACCGCTAAAAGTTACTGCAAAAATTGTTTTGATGCAACAAATCATTTTTTTTGACCGAGAAAACTACCAGGGCTTTTCCTAGTAGTGTATTTTCATTAAAACAAAACGTATGTACAAAGATATAGGGAAAAAGGAGCTTTTAAAGAGTTACAAAGTTTGTATCCAATCAAGAACTATTTGTTTTCAAGGCTCCTTCATTCTACAAATATGCAGAAGAACTTCGTTTCTGAATAGGCGTTTCCACGACTGAAAGGATGGCACAACATTCTAAAATATTAGCCCATTTCTCTGTTTCCAAATATGCCAAGAAGCGATGAAAAAGATTTCGAGAAAACCTTTTCGAGCAAAATTCAATCTTCCTAAGATTATCATTTGAAAGAATCCTATATGATGATTCCAGTTAATTCCCAAGTGTTGCCAACACCTAACACTGAAAGGACAAGTGAAGAAGAGATGAAGTCTGGTTTCTCTCTGGCCTGCATTGCATAGGACGCAAGTTAAATCATCATTCTCTTTTGCACAATGCCTCCTGTCCGGCATATCCTAGTGTTTAGCTTGTCACTGAAAAGTAGCCATGCAAAGACCTTGATTTTCATGACACATTTTGTCTTCCATAGCTAGACAAGAGGTCTGGGGGGCTGCAGTGGCACAAAGTTGAGCTTGTATAACTTTTTTTGCAGTGTATGAAGATGAATTCCAAATAAAGCTCCAACTATCACCTTGCCCTGGCTGCAAGTGCAAAAGGTTAAGTTCTTCTTCCAGCAGCAGGAATTCCTCATAGACCAGGGCAGATAAAGGTAGCAAGAAAGAATCCTCTAGGGGTCTTGTACTCATGGCCAACACAGATTCCTCTTTATGAATCACCAGACAGTAGAGTGTTGGATACTTGCTGCTCATAAGACCATCACTCCATAAATCTTCCCAAAATAAAGCTGAGGTTCCAGTTATAAGAGTGCATTTACCAATTCCCCTGAAAATATCAGTGAGGGCTAAAATGTCCTTCAGCCAGAAAGAACCCTTGTTAAGACACATGTGGGGGACTCTTGCAAGATAGTAAATTTTCCATACTAAGTCAACCCAAGGCAAATCAACTCCATTGTAAAGTTTAACTAGGTGTTTCATAAGAAGAGCACAATTCTGAAGCTTCAGGTTTACCACTCTCAAACCCCCCTTTTCTTTTGGCCTGCAAACTAAGTCCCATGAAGCCAAGGATCTTCTTGTGGAGTTTGGGTTATTTCCCCCTCCAAAGATAGTTTTTCCTTGCATTATCAATCGATTTGATCACTGTGACAGGTAGTTGCAAGGAACACATGAAGTAAGTTGGGATGGCTGACGGGACTGAATTTATCAAAGTGAGACGCCCTCCTTGGGGGAGAAACATTGAACTTGTTGTTAATCTTCTTTCCACTCTATCCACCAAAGGGGCAAAGTCCACAATCTTAGGCCTTGTTGTCCCCATGGGCAAACCCAAATATGTGAAAGGCAAAGATCCAATTGTGCAGCCAAGTAAACCAGCCAGATGATTAGCTTTTTCAGAAGAGACATTTAGGGGGTATAAGCTAGACTTTCTGAAATTGACTTTGAGACCTATGGACTAAGCAAAGTTATTCAAAAGAGCTTTGAGATAGAAGATCTCTCTTTGTGAGGCTTTTAGCAGAATAAGGGTATCATCAGCATATTGGATTATTGGAAAGCCCTTACCATCATTTTCATTGTTGGGTTTAGAGAGAAGAACTAATGAGAAAGCTTTATTAACAATTCTCTACAGCAATTCAGCACCCAAGACAAAGAGCAATGGGGACAAAGGATCACCCTGTCTAACCCCTCTTTTGCAGCCAAAACTATTACCAGGCACTCCATTAAGCAGAACAACAGAGTTGGCTGTGGATAAAATCATTTGGACCCAATTGATTCACTGTGCTGGGAAACCCATATTTTGCATAACGGATATTATGGCTGAATGCTCAATTGTGTCAAAGGCCTTCTCAAAGTCCAATTTAAGAATTATGATTTCTCTCTTAGATTGCTGACATTGATGAATGTATTCAAAGGCCCAGGCCAGGCAATCCTGAATGGTCCTTCCCTTAAGGAAACCATACTGATTCTCACTGATCACCTTTAAAATAACCCCTTGTAATCTGTCAGCCATTAGTTTGGTGAGAAATTTTAAGCTAACTCCCATGAGAGAGATAGGCCTGAAGTCATTAACAGTTTCAGGGGAATTCTTCTTAGGCACTAAAGTGATGAAAGAGTTGTTTAAAGACTGTAGATCAGTACATCCTAAGTGGAAATGTGCAGCCAATCTATAAAAGTCTTGGGCAATAATGTGCCAACATCTTTTGAGGAAAACACCATTAAAGCCATCTGGGCCTGGGGCTTTATCTGCAGGAATAATTCTAATGAGAGTATCCATTTCCTGAGTGAAGAAAGGATCCACAGGGTTGTCCAGACAAACATGATCAGGGAAAAGCTCATTCAAATCAAACCCCATTGTGGGCGAATTAGAGACACCCATTCTTTCTCTAAAACTTTTATAGAACAAAGCTGCTTTCTGCTCATGCAGGGTGACCACCTAACCATCATGGTCCTGGATTTGGGAGATTGAGTTAGCTCTATATATTTATGTAGCAATGGACTGAAAGAACTTTGTGTTTTCTTCACCCAGCAACATCCATCTATTGGTGCATCTTTTTTTCCAGTACATTTTCCTGAACTCTAAGAGCTTAATTATGTGGCACTACACAATCTCCCTGAAACTCCTCTCTTGTCAGAGACCTGGCCTCCTCAACAAGGTCTAGAAAATCAACTGCTCGATTGCAATTTGCAAGCAGAACATTTAGTTTAGATAAATTTTTGCTCCAGCTTAACAACCTTTTCCTAAGCATTTTAAGCTTAAAAGAGATGCATTTTGCAGGGTCCTCAAAGTCAGGATCCAAGGCCCAAGCAGAATTGACTATATCAAAAAAGCCCTCCACCTCTACCCAATAGTTCTCAAACCTGAAAATTGGGGACCTTGGAATTTTAGTATCAATCTTGACCACATAGGGCACATGGTCTAAAATGTTTCTAGTCATGGGTAGCACAGATGTATTGGGGAAGTTCAGTGTCCAGGAGGCAGAAGTGAAAACCCAATCCAGTCTTTCAAGGAGAGGGTTTTGTTGCATGTTACTCCAAGTGTACCTCCTGCCTTTAAGAGGGATTTCAAGAAGACCTAAGGAGCTGATAATATCATTGAAAATGAAGATGTCATTCATATCAACTCCAGCCTTATTCGTGTCCTCCACTGACCTGTAAAAGTTAAAATCTCCCAAGAAAAGCCAATTCTGCTGACTTTCTATGTGAACATTCTGCAACCAGGCAACAAAATCTGCTCTTGCAGGGCCAGTACAAGAACCATAAACACAGGTGAGAGACCAAGGCTGTGAGGATTGTCTGGAGGTGAAGTCAACAGTAACCGAAAATTGATTGACCTCTTTTGCCACCCCCATGAACACCTTAGGCAACAAATCATATTGATATGTGTTAGGATTCAAAATTCCCGAATGAAATTTTCAAAAAACATTTTTGTGAATTTAGCAAAATATATCCAAATTTGATCACATTTTGTTCAAATTTTAAATTATTTTTGGAAGATAGAAATTGCCAAACCGATAGATTAAACCTTTATCTCGGTTGTGTTATATAACTACTAGCGCTTATATAGGTAGCTAATTACAAGAAGTAAAAACAAGATAATCGGTATAGGTTGGTTTGCTTTGTGTAACTAACTAACGACAAAGTCAGACCAGCTAATCACGCATGCATGCACTTTACCTCCAGTGAAGAAGTTAATCCAGCTAATCACGCATGGATGCACTTTTTACAACGAGTGAAAACAAGGCAATCAGTGAAGAAGTTTATCATGCATGCATGCTATTTACCACCAGCTAACGGAATTGAGGTATGGCGAGTGCCATATCTCGTCATACCGGAAGCTCCGCCACTGGCACAGGCCATGCACATCTTATATAGTGAAAGCAGCAAGCTTTCTTACACGAGAATGTGCCACATCATCAAAAACATATTAGCCGTCGGATAAATAGTTCGGATAAATAATAGTCATTGGATCGAAAGAGTGCATGTATTAAAAAAA